AATGCTAGTAAACAAATACAGTCATATTTATCAGTAAATGTTTCATAGTAGTAAAAAAAGTAGAAAAACAAACAAAGACGTGAAAGAAATTGGATGACTTCACCTTCTAGACGTAAACACGTACGATTTGATTGCTCACGTTCATCTTCTATTATCACTACTACTACTTCTACTACTACTACTACTACTACTATCACTGCTATTACTACTACTACAGCTACTTCATCATCATCACAATCAGTATCATCATTGTTACAAAATTATTCCGGTTTCGATATCAAGAATAGTTCTCAAAATTTAATTCAGTCATATTTTCCCACTTTATCGTTTCCATCATCTAATACTACAATAAAGGAAGCATCATTATCATCTCTCATTACTCCAACATTATCATCAACATTATTATTCCATTCACGGGATTCTTCCTATTATCAATAAACTTACCCACAACAAACTTTGCACTTGCCTAACTCCGCCCTACCTCAATATTATCAGCCGAAGTCAATTATCAGGAATAGCCATATCTTCAAAACAGCTGCTGTTGATCAACCATATGAAAATACCTCATCATCCATTCCTTATTCCAATATCCAATCTCTAATTTCAATATCACCACAACTACAAGTTACAACGATCTCTTCATATCTCGCTAACAGCATGAATTATCTGTCAAATTTGGATATGGTTAAATCTTCGAGATCACAATCGCAACCACATCAGGTTAACATTAATAACTTTACTAATGTATTTTTTTCTTTCAAATTATCTTAACTTGTCATCAAAATTTATTTTTAATCGTGCAAATTATAAAGTTGAAATTCATTTTGTTGGAAATTTCGAATTTTAGAATTATTATTTTTTATTTTTGAAAAAGTCCGTGTAAAATTATAATGATTAAAAGGCTTAAATTGCAAAATTTGCAAAATTTTAACGAGTATATGCATGTGAGAAATGGCAGAAAATTTTAATCTTAATAATAACGCAAGTTTTAATCTTGGTAATTTCTGTTACTGATATTAGATGAGTGGAAAAACGGAGGTCAAAATAAAAAGCCTATTATTTTCCTACTGATGTAACCAACTAAAAAATGCAAACAATACAATAATCAAAAGTTTGATGGTCATATTATATGTTTCTTGATTATTGTCAAATTTAAATTTGTCTA